TTTCCTCCAGAAGCTTCCGTCCAACTGAGAGGAGCCAGCACGGCCACAAATGCCATAGCTAAATCTAGAATACGGGGTTAGGGAAAGGGCCTTAATGTCTCAGTAGAGATAAGTACAGCCAGGGAAATTCCAGCCCAAGCAAATTCATGTCTGAGATCTGAACTGCCTTTAACCGTTTCTCAACTCAGCCCAAATAGTTTCAGTCTCCAGACCACTTCCTCAAAGGCGTCTTTGGTAGAGATGCTCAAATATAACCTTATGTTTAATTCGAACTAAAGACACCCTGCTGGTGGAAGGGGAGAAAACCAGCACCATCCCCCTAGCAGCAACCTCTCTGTAGGCCGGACAGTGAGCCTCAAACCACACTGCAAAACAAGTCACTCAAACCCTCCCCTGGCCTCCACCTTTCAGGGTCTGCTCAACTCCAGGGCCTCCTGATTTCACACCAGTCAGGCCTGTGGGTCAGGTCCATATTATGTGGAGAGCCTGCCATGCGCCGGCCTCAGGCTAGACACAGAATGTCCAGAGATGAGTCGGACAAGCAACCTGGCTTCTCAAGTAGCTACAGGCTAGTGGAAAGCAGTAGTGGATAAAGTCACCATGAATAAAAAGAGGACAGCATGTATCATTTTGTAGCCTGAGCATGAGGCAAAAGGACTCAAATAAACCAGGCTCAATAAAAACAGGTAAAAAAAAAAGTGGGGGGCACCTGTGTGGCTCAGTCAGTAAGGTGACTCTTGATTTTGGCTCAGGTCATGATCTCACCTTTTGTGGGATCAAGCCCTGCATCAGCTCTGTGCTGATGGCGTGAAGTCTGTTTGGGATTCTCTGTCTCCTCTCTCTCTCTGCCCCCTCCCCGGCTCTCTCTCTCTCCCTCTCAAATAAATAAGCATTCAAAAAAACAGCTAAAAAATAATAAATGCCATTATTAATAATGTTGACTTGAAAAAGGATGGTGGGAAGGGTCCTTAAGATATTTTCTAAGGCCCTGGCAGAAGAACTGGGGTCCATCAGGCTTCCGACGTGGCCAGATTCTTGAACATTCACATTCTTCTTTCCTAAGGAGAAGAATGGGCCCATCTGTAGGGCAGGGATACCCAAATGAAACAGAAAACAAATAAGCAGAAAGCATATAGCATATCAACAAATCATCTAGAATCCAGCTACTTCCCACCACCTGCTTTTCTGCTGCTCTGGTCCAAGCTGCCATCCTCTCACCTGCATTTATTACCAAGCTATCAACCTGTCTGGTTTCTGTGCCTTGGCACTCGCCCACAACAGCCTGTTCTCAAAGCAGCATCCAGAGTGATCCTCCTAGGGCCTAAGTCAGATCATGTCACTCTTCTACTTGAACTCCTCCAATGCTGCCCAACTCACTCAGAAAAAGAGCCAAAGCCCTACAATGGCCTTCAAGGTCCAAATACATGCCACTGCATTCTAAGCACCAGTTACGCTACTCCTGGAACTTGCCAATTATACTTCCACCTCAGGGCCTTTGCACCACCGGCTGCTCCTACTGCCTAGAATGTTCTTCACAGATATCTGCAACCCTCCCCCCCACCACACACACAAACTTACCTCCTTCTCAGTGAGTTCTTTGTGGCTATACCATTTTAAATTATAGCCACCTCCACTAGCCTTCCTTATCTCCTTTCCCTGCTTAATTTTCCTTCATTTTGCTTATCAATCCCTGACATATACCATATTTCATTTGTTTACTTATTGTCTCTACTGACTAAGATATAATCTCCATGAGGGCATGGGTTTCTATTTATTCACTAATCTATCACCAAAAAGATAGAAGCTGGAAAAAAAGAGAAAAGAAAAGGAGATGAACAATAAATACTGTTGGGAAAACAAGACAGGGAAGGGGAAAGGGGGTGTGGAGGAGGGCTGTCCTTTGACAGAAAGTAGTCAGGAAGGCTTCATGGAGGAGACATGTAAGCAAGAACCTGAAGGCAGTGAGGGAGCAAGTTACATAGCCAAGACCAACTGCGTAATTTGCAGGGTCCAGTGAAAAGTGCAAATGTGGGGCCCCTGTTCACAGAGTATTAAAAATTTCAAGATGGCAATAGTAGAGCACTACACCAAGTGCAAGCCTCTTCTGAGCATGGGGTCTCATGTGACTACCAGGTCATACACCCATGAAGCGAACATTCCACACAGCAATCAGGAATAGAGTGTTCCATATAGATGAAACAGCAAGTGCAGAGACCCCAGGAAGGACAGTGCTTTGGGAACAAGCCAAGAGGCCATGCTTGTAAAACATGAAGATTCCTGGGCTCCTTTTCTGCATATTCTGATCCAATAGGCTCAAGGTCAGTTAGGATTCTTTATTTCCAGTTTGCCTCAGGGCATTCCCCTATCCAGGCAAGTTTGAGGAACATGTTTATTCCCACATCTTGGGATATACCCTGCTGCCAGCCATCGAGCATCACTTCAGAAAACCAGTTTCTGCTGTGTTTCCCTGAAAACTGATGGTCGACAACCGGATCTCCATCTTCACCCCTTGTCAGAGTCTCTGTTCTGGGAACATGCTGGTGCCTCAAATACTACTGGCTCTTATCGGTCTCTCCCTCTGAGGGACTGAAGTCCTGCCTGGATCCCAGCAGGGAGACTGGAGAGCTGTCATCAGCAGACAGGCTTCCCTGAGAGTTCCTGTTCCTACAAGTAACACAGCAGAGCCATGCTCGGCTATTACCAGACATGGGATATTAAAGCTAAATGTTTGCCTGGACTGACTCTTAATTTCCAGGTGCACTGCCCTGGGTCTCTAAGTCTCCAACATATCATCACCTATTCCTTTAAACAATAATTTAAATATGTTTATAACCTAGGCAGTCAATATTTGAAACTTAACTCATTCAACTTCTTTCTGTTCAGTTGCAGAAAGAAAAAAACTTTTCTGCCTTTTTAGTTTCCACCTAAAATCTCAATTTACAATCAGTAAATCCGATTAATATCTGTATACATGAATTAAAGCAATAATATCGCTTCACTGTTAAAGTAAGAATTATCACTTTCACTGGTTCTACATAACCAATTGGAAGAGTCTCTACAAATTTCATCAACTATAGTTCAGGGCCCAATGTAAATGATATACATGTAATAAACCAGTAGTCCTCAATGAATTGTGAGTTTCTTCCTAGGGAATATTTGGCAATGTCTGGATGGAGGTTGGGGGTCTTACTGGCATCTAATAGGCAGAGCTCAGAGATGCTGTTAAACATCCTACAATGCACAGCACAACCCACACAACAAAGAATTACAGGGTCCATAATATTAATAGTGTTGCAGTTGAGACAGACTCTTTGAGGGTATAGATTACAGTTCCCAATTCATTATACTTGAACTTAACATCTGAAAATCAAGTCTTTATGAAAGTAGTGAAGAATCTGGTTTATATTTTACCCAAAAGGGGTAATAAGGTTATGAGGAACAGGATCTATATTAAGCAAAAGCATAGATTAGAAAGCATTTGATCAAAAGTAAAGAACTGCAAGGAGCAGATGTTTCAGAGCCGTAAGTAACTCAAGTGCAGCCGTGGAGAGCACTGGGCTGCAGAGAGTCTGTTCTGAGCAGGGACCAGGGAAATAACACTTCTCTACATATCATGGATTCTTGGTACAGCGACCCTGGCCCAGTGGGTATGATGCTTAGAAACCAAACAGAAGAGGTCTTCCTTCTTCTGATGCTAAGATGCTAAGAGAGCTAGTGATAAGTCTAGGAAAGAAATAAGGGTGGAAATCAGAAGTGGTATCTAGATAAAAGCAAACATTTTATCACTGTGCTAATTCAAGCTGCTCTCAATGAATAAGCATGCTTAGACAATACCCTTACCTTTCATCCATCTTCCCATCTGTAAACAGGTTAATTATACCTACCTCCAAGGCTCTTTAGGGAAATCAAACTGAGTAAGAACAAGATGGAACAGGACGAATGTAATAATGCCTGGCACACAGCAGACATTCGGCAGAAGGTAGTTGCTGATATTCCCCAACCCTGGTCCTGTCTGGCTCTAACCCAAACCAGGCCTTATTGAGGTACGTGAGAATTGTAGTTCACATTTGCAGACTCCTAGGAGGACAGCAAAGGACTATCCATAGCATGATGATATCCGTATATGCTGCACAGCAAGATTCCTGTCTCAAAATATTTAAATGATAAGGCCTGCTAGGGAAACATATAGTACCAACTCGAATGTGCAAAATAATTACTCTGACTCTGTCATTCTGTGAAGGACCAGGAAGAGTTTCACTTTAAGAGAAAGGTACAGAGAAGATCGCCTTTCTTGCCATTGCTGTCTTAGGTGTTTCGGGAAAGAACACTGAAAACTGATACAGAACTCAGATGCAAAAAGGCCATCACATAGCTCAGAGTTAATTATAAGTAATTTTAATGAGACAATATGTTCCCTTAGGTTTCCATGTTCTTCCCAGAAGTGTAATGCAATACGTCCAGGACATACACACTTATAAATTTATAATAAACACAGCTCTCCAGCTCACCTAGACCCCAGTTCTGGGTTGCTGCTTAGCGACAGGTGTCACATTCACAGTTGCCAGTGAGCCCAGGGGTGTAATTTCACTTCTAAATAAAGAAGCATAATCGATAGAACCAGAACCAGCCTGTGGAAACAATCGTACCATCCCTGACTCATCACAGCGCTTGTTTACAGAGAAAACAAAATTCTCTGCAGAAGTCAACACCTCAGTTCAGCTTTGAGTGGTGTGATCTGGCCTGAAAATCTCGGGTGAACGTAGCTCCCAGGTCCTCTTTGGCATCTGGGCGGTGTCTGGCCAGGACACCGGGAACTCGATGCACCTACCTGGGGAGGGAGCCTCGGCGGCCTGCCCTTCTGGCGACAGAACCATCTTTGGCGACCGCTGCGGCCGTTCGCTGGGCGAGCGGCTGGGGACACAAGGCTGTGGCCCGACCCCCGTACTCCGCGCCCCGCCCCGAGCCCACCAGCCCCCGCCGCCGCGGCACGCCCTGCTCACCGTGACTCCGTACTTGAGCGCGATGCCCTGCAGCGTGTCGCCGGCGCGGACCCGGTGCTCCACATGGCGCTCGATGACGCCGGCGCCCAGCGGCGCCCGCACGCTGGCAGTGCTGCCGTACGAGCGGGTCTTGGTGCGGGCCAGGCTCAGCGACAGCTCGGCCTCCTCGGATTCCGAGCCCGAGCGCGAGCGTGCCGGCGGCGAGGGAGCCGAGGGCCGGGGAGCTCGGGGGCCGCCTTCCCGCAGGGACAGCGCGGGCGAGGAATCCGCCATGGGTCCTGCGGAGGCCGCCAGGTCGCGAAGCTCGCCAAGGGGGCGGCGCCTTTTCCGCCGCCGCCTCTTCTGAGTCCTCACAGGGGCTGCGGCAGGAGGTTCCGCGGGGGCAGAGGACTTGAGGCAGCGGCGGGGAGCTGCGGTCGGGGCATGGCGGGCGCCCCCCTCCTGCGCGTCTCGCCTTCCCCGGGCAACCTGCGAGCGGAAGAGCGAGACGAGCTCCCACAGCTGCCCGGCACCCCGCCGCGGCTGCACCCTGCTCGCCGGTGCCGGGCAGGCCCTGCGGTGCGAGGAGGCGAGGCGCACAGAGGCCCGCTGCCGCGGGGGCCGAGAGGGGCCCACCCCCAAGAGTCCCGGGCCCCGGGTGGAACCCTGCGCCGAGTCCACAGAGCCTAGTGAGAGCCCTGTCCCGACCAATGCAAAACACAAAGCGGTGCTCTGCTTCCGGTATTGATTGATTGATTGATTGATTTCCCAGCACACGCCAGCTTTCTCAAACCTCCAATCTGAGGGGTACTTCCCTCCCCCCACCCGACTACTCTGATGACCTCAAAGTCCACGTCACAGAAAACATTAAGGCCATTAAACACACACAGTTTCTCCAGGCCCATCTCAACAGCTTGGAGGGTCCAGGCCTTTCGACATTACATCAGAAGGGACAGACCTTTCAACTTTGCACCAGGTGGGTGACTACAAACCAACACTCCAGTTGTTTGGGTTTCTTCCCTGAGCACCTGTGCCAGTTTTAGCCCTGAACTGCCTGGAACACGTGACTAGTGATAGTCAATTCTCCTGGCTCACTACTTAAAATTTACTATCTGCACCCATCTTTTTTCTTAGCAGTTTCCTCTTTAACAGGCTGAAATCATAACTCCCCAAAGTATTATCATTAAATCCACCAATGACCTCTTATCTGTATTCTTCATCTGAACACTCATTCCCCAATATTCTGACTTCTGACAGTATTCTACATAGAGTGGATATGCATTTAACTAGAGTCTGATGCCACGATTTCTGTTGTACTCTGGACAGCTCTACAAGAGGAGGTATCATATACACAGGTCAGGAGATGCGAAGTTTAATTCATTGGCTGAAGTTTCTGTATGTTGCTGCGCTGGTCAGAGGCAAAGGAACCAGAGCTTAGGAGACACCACAAAGGAGAGGAGAGGAGCAAGTGATCCTAACATCACCTTCCCACTCAAAAATTCTTCCATAGCTCCCTGTGGACAACAGCATTAGCATAACCCACATTGGCACCCAAAGTATTGTTTCCATTTTTATAATCCATGCTCTGGCTATATCCCATCTACAACTTATCCTATATATATCCTGCCAGACAGAGCCACTTGAACTTGCCCCTCTTTCCTACCTTCCTGTTTCCATATCCTATATGCCGCACCTGTAATGCCACTCTTCTAAAGCTGTCTATATTTTTAAAAAATTTAAGGCCTATCCCAAATGATACATCCTCCCAGAAATCTTTTCTGATTCTTCCCATGTGTTTCCCTCCCCTAACTGTCCAGTTGTTATTGTTTCTCCATTGAATCCCAAGGGAGTTTGTACCTCTTGTTTAGCATTTAACTTGTGTTTTGTGTCATGTATTTATCTGTACACATGTTCCAGTGAGGTGTAACTACATCTTACTAATCTTTTTAGCACCAGCAGCACCCATCTTAGAGCCTTGAGTAAAGCATCACAAGTAGTTAGATGGAGGTATAATAAAAAGACCCTGAAAGCTAAATTGGATTCTTTAGCAAGATTGTGCCATACATGAACTTTTGAGTAATATCCAGTGTGCCCATCCCAGGAACTATAAGAGAGGAAGAATGGCAGAATTTCGGTATATAATGAGATCAAATAATACTTCAAGAAAAAAAAATTGTCTTCAAAGAATTTACAATCTAGTAGTGAGAGAGCACATAATGTGTCTTCCACTAAGGAAAAGTTTACAAGCACTGGAAGGTTTTTTTTTTTTTTTTTTAATGTTTATTTTTGAGGGAGAGAGACAGAGTGTGAATGGGGACGGGCAGAGAGAGACGGAGACACAGAATCTGAGATGTCAGCACAGAGCCCGATGTGGAGCTCAAACTCAAGAACCATGAGACCGTGACCTAAGCGGAAGTCGGACGCTTGAGTGAATGAGACACCCAGGTGCCCCAAGCACTGGAAGTTTTTATTTGAAGATTAAAGAACTGGGTTATATGAGGTGTCATTAGGTGTTCTTTGGAAAAAGTTAACTGACTAACTGGGGAAATACTACAAGCTGTATTTCCCTTTTGGAGATTCACAAGCACATTAGAATACTGAAGGCTCTAGAAGAGCTTTAGTGGTAAGGTAAGCTATTGAGCTTGGCTTAACACTGTATTTCCCAAACTTGTTTGACCATGGAATCCCTCTTTCTCAGCAATTCAGCAGTTTGGGAAAGGCTAAATTAAAGAGGTAAAAGATAGGCCTACATAAGGAACCAGGAAAATGATTTTGACAAGTCAGAGATTACCAAAAGATAGAACAGTATATACCTAAAATAATGGGCAGAAAATGATCCAAGCAGGAAAAAAGGCTAAGTGATGATCTCTTAATTATTTTACAGAATGACCAAAGCCTCTGTAAAAGTGCAAATAAACAAAAAAAGTACTACCAAAAATACAGAGAGATTCAAAAGCCATCCCACTTCTTTCTCATAAGGGCAATTTTTAAACTATCCCTAGTTATTTTCAATTTCTCCAGCCCTAAGAAATCCTGGGTCATAAAACACCTCCAAAACTGTTATAAAATGCTCTGAAGTAAGTCCTATACAATTTTCAGAATTTTCTCCATGATTTTTTTTTGTGATCTTCACTAGAGTTTCCTCTAGATCTCAGGAATGAATCAACTTGAATTAATACTTATTTGACATTTTATAGTTAGGGTTCTTTGTGAGTTTTTTTTTTTTTCCATAGACATTGGGGCTGTTTCCAAATATTCAATCTTCCTGGAAGTTTTCTGACGATTTAGCCATAATCCAAATAATAAAAGCTAATAATAAAAGCTAATTTTTGGCTTAGAATGAATTTTCTGTATATTTATTTCTCCTTCTTCAACCAGAATTTCAATATTGGTGTTACGTGTATCTACCTACAATACAGAACAAACTTCACAATTAATGGTGAAGCATTAGAAGCATTTCCTTTGAGGGTAAGAATAAGAAAAGGAAGTCTTCTATTAAGCTTCTATTTAATTTTGTTCTGGAGTCCCTAGCCAGTGCAGTAAGAAAAAAAAAAAAGGAAAAAGGAAAAAGAAGACTGAAAAGAAATAAACTGTTGTTTATTGATGATAGGCAACACTAAAATGTTTACAGGCAATACAAATGTCTACATTGGAAGTATCCAAACTTCAAAGTTATAAGAGAAGATCAATACGTAAATATCAGCCAATCAGAAAATACAATTGTGGAAAAGATGACCTTAAATATTGAGGAATAAAATTAAGAAAAAGGGATCCTGCTTTACATGGAAAAACTATAAAATTCTACTGAAAGATACAAAAGAAGATGCAAATAAAAGCAGATACTTACCATGTTTATTGATGGGAAGGTGCAAAATAATGAAAATATCATTTCCTTCACCAAAGTAAAATAAACTCATTGAAATTCCAACCAAAATCCCTATAGGATTCTTCAAAGGACATGGCAGACTTATCTTAAAAATTCATATGGAAGATAAGAGCTAAGAAGACAAGACATTTCTGAAGAACTGAGGAAGAGGGACTTACCTTCACAGCCATCAAGACTTACGATGCAGCCATGAGAACCACATCATTGCGGTAGTGCTGCCAGAATAGACAAATATAACAAGGGGACAACAAAGAAAGCCTGGAAACAGGCCCATTTTAACCCTGTGGGAAAAAATCAAGTTAGATCTCTATCTTTTATACCATGTACCAAAATCAGTTACAGATTGAAGATCTAATTTGGAAAAACAAACTTTGACACTTTTGAAACAATATTTTCATAACCTTGAGAGAGCAAAAGATCTCTTAAGCAAGATACCAAATTATAAATCACAAAGAAAAAAAGGACCAGTAAATTCTATATGTCAACATTAAAATTTTCTCTGCCTTGAAAGCTACCTTAAAAATTAAATAGATGATAGGTATAAAATGGAAAAATATATTTGAATACATATAAGTGACAAAGTATTATCATCTAGAATATATTAAAATGACTATGAGTTATAAAAATACAAACACTCAAAAAATGATCAAAAATTTTCAGGAGATAAAACTCAAAGGGCCAACAAACCTAGGGAAATATGCTCAATGCTACCACTAAGCAGAGAAATTCAATTTAAAACTACAATTTCATAGGCATGAGATTAGCAAAAATTAAAGAACTGGACAATTCTAAGTACTGGTGAAATTATCAAATAAAAGAAAATCTCAAAGAGTGTTGGCAATAAAAATAAAAATTAAAAAATAAAATAAAATAAAATAAAAGCTTTTAAAAGCTACATGACAATATCTACTAAGTCGCAGAGGCACCTATCTGGAGTTCTGGTTCTGGCAAGCTGGAAGCTCTCAACTAGTATGAAGTCCTCCTACTATATAAGCATTTCCAATTTAGATTAATTTTTCAAATTAAATTCATAATTAAGCTGGCAATCAAAAAAGGGACAGTTTTATATATCAGAACAAGAGGGATTTGAAAGCTAGAACCAGAAACAACTTGCCTAAACTAATATAGGAAGACATAAAAATTCTGAAAAATTCTTATAACCATTAAAGAAACTGGATCAGTACTTCTAATTTTTGACAAGAGTTAAAAATCTTGTTACAAAAAAAAAAAAAAAAAAAACCTCCAAAAAAATATCTTCCTCCAGAAGATCTTGTTGAAAGATTCTATCAACCTTTCACGGAAAACACCAGTCCAATCTTATATAAACTCTTACAGAGAACAAAAGTAGCAGGAACAATGCCCAACTCAGTTCAATGTATAACCACACACCCAATCTAATGTTACAACCATGACCCAAACCAGCTGAGAAAGGCATCCCACTCAGAAACATGGATAGAAGAATCTTGATATTGTGAAGCCAAATCT